TGCTTGAATTTTATAGGAAGCTATGGAAACTATGCGAGCAGAACCTGTTGCTCATGGGCACAAACCAAAGACAAGTGCTGATGTTGTTCCCACGGTCCTTTGCCTCTCCCATGGCCAGGTCCACTCCTAGGTCAGCGGCAACACCCTTTTTTTAAGAATGCTGGTATCCCGACAAACTCCACCAGAACATAGACATCGGCGGAGAAAATACTTCAGGAACAGCTTGTTGCTGAACAGAAAAGTTCCGCTAACCTCGTCGAACAAGTGGATGAACTGAAGAGGAAGACAGAAAGGACTAAAAGGGAGTTTGAGGAGTTCAAGATACAGCAACAGAAGGAGTACAATAAGCTACGTGAGGATATCATACACTTCCGCTCTTCTTCTGGTAACTCTTAGTCGTCAATTCTGTTGGCCTGATGCAGTGAACATTTATGGTTTGATGTGTGTACTCTTGTGCTGGTTTGATGTGGTAAAACTATCAGCGGGTTGCTGCTGATGTGTAAACAATAATCTATTGTATTTGATTGTCATGCTGAATAATTATGTAGACATCGTCGAATAATTATGTAGTCAATCTGTGCAGCAGTGATGATCTTGAATTATTTTTATGATAAATTAATTGTTGGGCACGTGGTAGAACCTGGGCAAGCCATGTGATTAAATAAAAATGCAACACGTGGACGAACCAGTGCATGACACGTGAAATAGCCATAGCACGATACGTGGGCTAATAAAAATCTAACACGTGGAAGGAAACCGTCAAGCCACGTGGCCAAATAAAAAAACAAAATATGGACATACAACACCATAACACGTGGTCAAATACGAAACTGTCATGTTGACCAATAAAAATATAACACATGGTCCATTGAAGAAATGACACATGACCCAACCGTAACACGACACGTGTGCTAATAGAAAACAGACATGTGGAACAACAGGGACCCGATACGTGGTTCAATAAGAACCTGAAACGTACAAGAAACAGAGATGGCCACATTGTCTAATAAAAAGGTGACACGTACCCAAACCATCTCCAATGCAACCGGCTATAGTAGGTACACGTGGAAAGCATCTCCAATGGAAACAACCGCCAGCGTGGCTGTCTCCTGCCACACATGCCAAAGCAGTTCTATGACGATCAGTTTTCATCATAGATCTATCTAATTCTATGATGATTTTCTAGAATCGTCATATAATTGCAAGAATGGCGCGACTTCTATGATGAACTATTTTTTATCATAAATTCATTATAAAACTAAAATTATGACGAATTTAACTCATTCAGTGACGAAAACTGATTGTCATAAAAGTGGATATTCCAAGTAGTGGGGAGAACAGGACCCAGACGGTTGAATTTGGGCCCATTTTCTAAAGCTCGCATGGGGTAGCAAATTATTTTTCTTAGCGGGGGAGGGGGGTGTCGGCGGGCGGCTTCCTGTCACCCGGGTTGTCACCTAGGGCCTCCCGCACAATACAGCTGCAATTTTGTCAGAACTGCCCATGGTTGGGCCTTCATATGGGCCGTCGGCGTGGCCCTAGTCGAGCAATGCCTGTTGGACTGCTGGAGGTCATCTACCTACAAGAGAGCACAGGGCAGCAGCGGTGAGGACATCGAACAATTTACTAGAATCATCAGGTTATCACCTTCTCTAGTATTCCCCTTTCCTGTTGTTCTTCCTCCCAAATCCTTGAGCTTCTACTGCTGTTCTTCTAATTCTCTATATTCCTCTCTACAATCAGCTACCAGGTTGCTAACAAATTTCTTACCTCTGTAAATTGCTCGTTCGATCAAGTTTCCACTGAGCCGCCATGACAGTCGTCGGATACTACAAGGCATTACGCATCGGTGTAGGCGATGCCGCCGACTCGACGACGCAGAGAGCCAATGTTGGAGTTGGATGCCGAGGCTAGGTAGATGGCGCAGGCTCGCAGCCGAGGTGTGCCGAGGTGACGTCATCAAATCAAATTACTTGAATCGGTGTTTGTAGTACTCCAATATTGTTTATATGGACACCGTTATCGTTTGATTATTAGGAACAGTAATTACTTGAAACTGAGGTCTTCAACGCGGTTGACAGCACTCTGGCCCAGGCCGTGCGTCTGATTATTAGGAACGACAACGCTGGGTCGAGGGCGTTCGTCCCTCTAGACGGACCGACCCATGCTGCAGCGTGCGCAAGCGCGTGATGACCTATCCTTTCCGTAGGAGTGCGTGCTGTCAGTCAGCTCGGCGTGGAGGTGCATGTGTATGGATGGCAACGGGGATGTACCCGTCGGGTATCGTCGGTAAGTTCTCTTTCTCGCTATGGAGAATTCATCCCGTCTCCGTCCCCGTTAACTGTCTCGGGTATAGATTCTTGTCCATTCCCGTACTCGTCGGGCATCGGTCGGGTAATAGATACCCGATGGGTACTGCATACCCGATAAACAAGGACACTTGGGGTCGCAGCTTTGCAATCGGAGACGTTTCTTCTTCGCCCGGGTATAAGTGTCGGAGTCTCAGAGATGCCGAGGAGAAGGAGCGAGGTTGCGAGGAGGACGAGCAAAGGTGGCAGAGAGACCGAACTGGGAAAGCGAGGGGCACGAGCGCTCATGAGGCAGGCGTGCTTGTGCTGCTGGCAGAGATGGTGAGGAAAAATTGAACTAGGGTTCCTAGAACAAACAAACTATATATATGATTGTTCAGATTTGGGCCAAAATATCTATGTTGAGCTTCTTTGGGCCTAATACCCGCATGACAGCTCAGATAGTCGGGTTCCCCAACGGGTAACGGGGGCGGAAAACAGGGAACGTTCCCATACCCGCTATACTCGTCGGGGATGGATTCTTGCCCATTTAGATGCCCGCAGGTAAAGATATGATATCATCACCGTCTTCTAATGGATCAAATACCCGTCGGGTATCGGGTATCGGGCCCGTTGCCATCTTTATGCATGTGGCATGTGTGCATGCACCGTGACCAGAGAGGGAAGGATCGACGCTTGGAGTTCGAGCATGGGCCCGTATCTGCATGCGCCGTTTGCTGCTCCTGTGATAGGTGACCGTTGGTAGCTGAGTGCTGGTCCAAATTTTTCTAGGCACCGTAGCCGGTTATTCTAACACGGGAGGCCAATTTGCTCAGAGAAAGAAAGGGTGGTCGTGCCACCAATGAGCTCCACATAAGCGATCTCCGCGTCACTCCGTGACATCGAGCTCTACATCGACGTCAAGCTCCGTATGTTTCACGCGTTTCAGGTGTATGTTGTATGTGCTTTTATCTGAATGTTGCATGTTTTTTATCTTAATGTTGCATGTATTGCAATGGCTATACACGTATCTTTCAATTGCTTCAGCTGTTTCATACTATGTTGCAAGTGTTTTATCTGGTGTTGTATATGAAGCATATGTTTCAATTGCTTCACCTGTTTTTAGACATATATTGCAGCAGTTGCTTCATATTGCCCAAGTGTTTCGTGAGTAAGCGTAGAAAGCTAGCGCAAACGCAGACGGTCCCCACATGCAGGCGCAGCAGCAACAACAACAGGCGCGGACCCAACAGCAGCAGGCGCAGGGCACAGCAACGCGCGGGCAGGCGCTGCAGAAGTAGCAGGCACATGGTGCAGCAGGCGCTGCAAAAGCAACAGGCGCATGGTGCAGATGGTACAACAACACACGGCAGGTGCAACAACATGTGAGGGCGTCTGCGCGTGTCCGTCCGAACATCCGGGTGCTAACCGGTCCCTTGCCGTAGGGTTCAGGTATCTGGGTTGGCTAGTCGTTGCTGGATACGCAAACTCTAGGACTCATTGTATCTTTTTTAATTTATATAGATAGAAATAAAGAACTGGACAGAAAAATACCATCCAATAGTCTTTTTAATTGAATTTTTAAATATAAATATCTTTTGTTTTCGAACTTCTCACTAGTTAAAGATAGAGAAGGAGGATGCCTCTTTAAGAGTGCGCATATAAAAAACGATTTTTACTCAAATAACTCTTCAAATAAGGATTTAGAGGATAAATCTTAAAAAAACAATTAGAGTGCTCAAGGCTAATTTTCATGCAGGTTGCATAGTGGTATTCCATTGACTATCTTTAACAACAGCACCCAAAATACAAGAGCCATTCCATATTTAGGTAGCGCTACAGGTAAAGAGTTCAATATCTATTTTTGGTCTTCTTCAATAATAAGACCTAAAAGATAACCCTTTCTGTAAATAGGTCTTCACGAGAAATGATACTCAGATTTAAATTGTGCCTCTCCTAGCACCCAAAACAAATCTCCTGTATAGGTACTCTGTTGGAGACCGATACAGTACTGTCAAAGACCCATTTTAGATTTAGGTGTCCTTATGGGTCACCAATTAGGGACAGGAGGCGAGTTTGGGGCGCTGGCTCTGTGGCAATTGCATCCTGCAATTAGCCCTTCTGTTGTACTTTGTTATTACTTGATCTTTACCTTTTCAAAATGAAATATGTGCTAAGGTACTTTCGCTAAAAGAAAAAGATTAAAAGTTGTGGTCAGCGGTGGTCGTAGTCGTAGTTATCATTGCACATCTCGATCATGAAATTAAAGCTAAGATTCGATGTATCTACAGAAACGTACAAGGCCCGGCGCTGGCAAGGCGCCTACAGTAAGTCTTCGACGGCTGACACGACACAAAAAAAAATTGTGTCCACAAATGAACGTTATCGTTTGGGACTACTCGGCCAATAGAACTCCGTAAAAAGCAACCACTGCTAAGCAGACCAACTAGCTTTGTAAGCAAGCAAGGAGCTCGCAGCTAGCATAGGAGATCGCCCGGAAGCACAGTTCATACCATGCATGCCATCCAAGTTTACAAGCCTCGATTATCAGGTGTGCCATGTCTATTCACCATCCAGTTTCTCGTATGCTTGCTGCTCGGTTGCTGCCTCCCGAAATCGTGCAAATGCTCCAATACCGACCAAGATGAGCTAGGAAACCTCACCCTGAGCTATTCATTTGACAAACTTCCCGGCCACCTGTTCATGAGTCACATGGCTCTCTGCGATGACAACGGCGGCAACGCGTGGGGAGGCCTTGGGTCTTATAGAGAAGCTATTGGTTCACGGTTAGACTTGTACCGCGACAATAAGGGTATGTTTTTCACCCTCTATTCGGTGGATCCTTTGGCAAACCATGGCATGTCCTTCAGCATCGTTTTCACCATGAGTATCTACCAGCCGAACACCCCGATGGTACTTGTCTTCGTCATCAAACCTGCAAGCCTCGATAGCCGTTTAAGTTATGCTCTCATGAATAATGTGAATAGTTCTTGTTCGACAGCCACTGCATCTCGCAACGTTGCCGGCAGCCACGTCTATGCCCAAATCACTGCACATGACAGTATAACACCTGCCATCTTGGTACATATTTGCAGAGAGCCGCTACCGGACCATTCCTCCATGGCAAACATGTATAGCGTGTGGGTTGATTACGACTATACTAAGGACCACATGTTGGTGTACGCAGATGCAGGTGAAGGAACATCGAAACCTGCAGCAGCTGTAGCCAACAAGATCCTCAATAGGCAATGGATGTTTAAAAAATCAGCATCATTTGCCTTTTTCTCTTCGATGGGGCAACTCCTACAACTGCACACATGGAACTCAACAGCCGTCAGGCGTCGGCCATCATTTTGCGCAATGCCTCCTCATATCCCAAGCCCAAGAGGCAATCAATGGACCATCGCATTGTCCTCCGTCCTTGGATCGGCTTGTGCCGCTGCCATCATGGCTGCTACTCTTGTATACTTGAACTCGAAATATAGGAGGTGGAAGATGGAGCAGGAGAACCTCATCCGGACCATGCAGAACCTCCCTGGGGTGCCAACCCAGGTTGACTATGCCGAGATCAGAAAGGCCACGAAAAACTTCCATGACACAATGAAGCTGGGGAAGGGCGGATTTGGGGCTGTCTATAGGTGCACACTTCCTGCTGCTGCTTCAAGGATGGGACAACAATCGGTGGAGGTCGCCGTGAAGAAGTTATTGCAGGAAGATGAGCATCGACGCTACGACGATTTTCTGGCGGAAGTCAGCATCATTAACCGCCTTCGTCACAAGAACATTGTACCACTCATCGGTGAGCACCGGACTCTTCTTTCTTTACTACTCTTATATGCAAAATGAAGTACTATGTAATTATGCAAATTTACCATTCTTTGGGGAGACGAGCCCGCGGTGCTCGAGACCTGCTCGACGAATTGCCGAGCCGGTTGTGTCGATGGCGTGTTGGGAGCGCGGCTTCATCGAACCGCTCATGGGACAGAGCCAAGGGGGGTTGGCACTTGGCAGGGATGCACGCTGCTGACCCCTGACCCCTGACGCTGCTGACGTAGTTTATAACAAAAATATATATGGTCACGGGATGCACGCTGCTGACCCCTGACGCGCCGACAGCGCGGGGTCGGGCTGGTAGCAAGGGATAGAATAGAACGCGGCGATATTGCTGCCTGCAGAGGGTAGCTTCACGGGCCGTGGTCTAGTGGCATTGTGGACAGGCCGCGCGCGAGGGCTAGCAGGGAGGAGAGAAGAGGCTGCCGAGGTTCGACTTGCGCAGCCTGAATGTAGTCTGGTTTGAGGTTTGTGTAGTTTTTTCTTTCTCTTTGTTTGCTATATATGTTTTTCTAATGGATTATTAGTTCATTTTGATTTATGTAATTCGAATTCGACTGAAACAAAAAGATAAATAAAATTTAAAATAATAGAACATACATCCAGGTACATGGAATTTTAGGCATGTAATGCAAGGTTTATTGGAAATAACCATAGTTAGTTTATGGATTTAATTAAATTAAATTGGGTTACATGAGTAAATCATTAGCATTTTAAGTAAATTTTGAAAAAGTCCACCCTTTTCATTTAGGAGCTTTTTGGGTGGATTGTTACACATGACGTCAGAAATATAGATTTTGACTGTAAAATTTTGATCTTATTAGTTTTTATAACTTTTTAACCTCATTTTAACTTGAAATTCTTGTGCTTATTGTACCTTACTGCAGTTTTTATTAATACGGTCGTATAAATGATCCTTTAAGCATGTTCCATGGTGCTCGGATCTGTGGTAGAGTTTGACTGGATTTTTTGGAGGGGCTGATCGTGCTAACTCAAGAGGATATTAATATTTAAGCCAAATAGTGATTGTTTAGTCTAAATGAATCTCAAAGTTTAAGGATGTCACAAAACCTTTGTTCTACACTAACCCAATCCACTACTCAAGATGCTAAATTTTTTTTATCAAAGAATTACATGTGTATTTCTACAGATGCTTATGTATCGACAACACATATGTTTATTCTTGGTTAGTTTATTATTTATACATCAATAGTAAATAGAACTAGGTAATTTAGAAATATATATGGGTTTAGTTTATGGTTATGTAATTTTTTTTCATAATAGTAGGTGTTGGTAATTTGTATGTAGATTTGTTGGATATTTAGATTATATTTAGTGGTGGTCGAAATGGAAATCTACATGCTAATTAATTTAAAAGCTTACTTAGGTTGTCTATTATAATAGCATGGTGGGTAATTTACGTGCAAAGTAGATAGTTACTCTAGAGTTTAGATTATGTTATATTATGGCACAAGTCGGTAACTTACATGTAGGTTTAGGAAGATACTTTATGTTGTTTTCCAGAATGGTAGATGTTGATTTTTTTTTGAGAACACGCCGTAGCACATATTTCATTAAGCAGATAGAGTTTTGAAAACAAGTCATGGTAACGACATGGTTACCAAAACCTAGCACTACTGGATTCACAACCAAAGATTACATTTTAGTAAATTTTGCGACAAAGGGCAAAACGAACTACAACCTCGCCAAGATCAGCCCCAGGCATCTGTTCCCTGCCGAGCACCAGCGCTCGGCCTCCTCCTGCATCGCGAGAACCAGCAGCCCAGGCGTGGATGCAACAGCATTAAAGGTGCGGGAGTTCCTTTCTTTCCACAACATCCAGCCCACCAGGAAAAAAGCGAATCAAAGCCACGTCGCAGCGATTTTTGAACTGTCTTTCTAGACCGCAACCACCATTCCAGAGCTGCCTCTCCATCATCAGCTGAAGGCACCTGCAGCCAAATTCTTGCAAACCAAATGTGCCAAACTTCCCTACTGAAGCTGCACCCAATTAGAATGTGATCCATCGTTTCAGGTTCTTGATCACACATGATGCAATCGTTGGAGGGTTGCAAGCCGTGGCGGAAGCAGCGATCACCAGTCCAGCAGCGCCCGTGCATGGTTAACCAGAAGAAGAAGCGAACCTTCGGCAGAGCCGGCGTCTTCCAAATCTGCTTGGCGCCAAGAACCGGTGAGGATCCGAGGAACATGGCACCATAGGCTGAAGCTGCTGAGTAGGATCGATCAGCGGTCAGTCTCCAAGTGAACGTGTCAGGTTCCTGTGATAACTGCACATCATCGATGAGGTCGCAAATGAGATCGATTTCGAGCAGAAGCTGCAGAGAGGGCGGTGCAGCAATGTGCCGAACCCAAGCACTCCCATCCAAGGCCTCGGCGACAGTAGCCATCTTGTTCCTTGCGCGCACAGCAGCGAACACGGTCGGTGCAAAGGACTCGATGTTGACCCCCCTGACCCATTTGTCCGTCCAGAAGTACGTTGACCGACCATTTCCTAGGTTTAGGACACTAGCCGCCTGGAAAAGTGCCAGAGCCGCCTTCTCCTTGGTCGCCGGCCGGCGTCCGAGTCGGCGATCATGCCAGACCCATCGTACACGCAGCGCAATGCCAACACGCCTTAGGTCCGAGATACCCAAGCCACCCAACTCCTTGGGCAAACAGACCCGCCCCCATGCCACCTTGCAAAGACCACCAGCAACCTTATCAGTTCCTGCCCACACGAATGCCCGTCTCAGCTTATCAATCATGCCAATTGCCCAAGGTGACAAGCAAAGGGCGATGGAAGTATGAATCGGGATGGCCGAAAGGGTAGCTTTGACAAGCGCCGTTCTGCCAGCTACATTGAGCAAATTTCCTTTCCAGCCTGGGATTCGCTGAGCCACTTTGTCAATGATGTACTGCTCCTCAGAGCGCTTGAGTTTGTAGACTGACAGTGGAATTCCAAGGTACTTGCATGGGAAATTTTGAACTGCACAGGACAGTACTCCCTGAACCCTTGCTATATCGTCTTCTGAGCAGTGTATAGGTGTGGCAATACTTTTGTCCAGGTTGGAGAAAAGACCCGAAGCAAGACCAAAAATTCCCAGCACCGCTTTGACAGTTAGCAGGTCCTGTTCATTTGGCACTACGAACATGACCAAGTCATCAGCATATAGGCTAACACGGGAGCCATGTAATTCAGCGATGGGTGTCAGCAACCCCTGTCGTTCCACCCAGCCAAGAAGATGGTTTAGCACCTCCATCACAAGGACGAAAAGCATCGGCGACAGGGGGTCCCCCTGACGCAGCCCCCGAGGAAAAAAAAGTTAAAATCATTGATGATCACTACTGGAATCCACCAATTTCCCTTGGGCCGAAACCCTAGGGAAAGACTTAAAAAGGTAGGGAAATGGTTTCCCTAGGAATTTTCGTGGGGAAATCTTCCTAGGAACCATTCCGACGGGAAATCAATTGTGCCCCGTGGTTTCTGACAAAAAACAATAGGGAAATAATGTTTCTCTAGGATTCTTGAGCCCTAGGGAAACCCAATGACATGGCATTTGTATCCCACGTGGAAAGGTTCTTCCCCTACGGTTACATCTTCCTAGGAAAAGTTTACCAACGTTGCTTTTTTCTTATTTATATACATATGTATTTCTTTGTTCTTATTTCATACATATTTATTTATTTTTTATTTACTATTGTATTTCTTCTCATCTATTCTTACAAAAAAAGTGAATAAGTCCATTCAAAATTGATTTTATTAAACTGTAACTATACACAAGATTGATATGTTACATATATAAACTTCTTTTGCGTATCCATTTACACAATCAAGAACAAAGAAACATATATATTTCTACCTATCCTATGCATCCACTAAGCACAAGAGAGCCAAGTCCCCGCCATTTCAGCTTGCAAGCTTCCTTCAGTAGGAGTGTAGCAGCTGGAGCTTCAGAGCACCAAGTATAACCTGATACGATGCACAGCAGAAATATGAAGTGCTGCAGCATGTTCAGAATATATAGCAAATCAATGAGGTGGCATTTAATACGCTTACCAAATATTAGTAGAAATGATTGGGTTGTGTCAAATTGATTGCCGTATCTTTTTATGCATTATTAATAATTTCTAGGATTTATCCTTTTAAACACATTTCATGAGGATTAATGTTGAGGCTTCGTTAAAAGCCTTCAATCAGTAATAGTAAGATGGTTAATACCATTTTTTTGCAATGAAATCAATATGGTGTCGCAAATTTCAGGTTGGTCCTACAACAAAGGGGAGCCCATATTGATCTACGAGTACATGATGAACGGTAGCTTGGATCAACATCTTTTTCTGAAAGGTGTCACCGCCGGGCAGAGCCAACATCAACAAGAGGAAACATCGTCTATCGGTACATGGCAAATCCGCTACAGCATTGCTAAGGACATAGCCACCGGTCTGCACTATGTTCACCATGAGCATGAGCCAATGGTGCTACACCGTGACATCAAAGCAAGCAACATCATGGTCGACTCGACCTTCAGCGCGCGTCTCGGTGACTTCGGTATAGCTTCCACAGTCGCCGTAGACCGGAGCTCCGTCACCGGTATCGCCGGCACGTGGGGTTACATAGCGCCCGAGTACGCGTTGACCTTCAGGTCCACACGGCAGACCGATACCTACGCATTTGGAGTTCTCATCCTGGAGCTTGTTACAGGCAAGAAGAACGGCGACGTCCCACCGGACGACGACCACATCACTGACTGGGTCTGGCGCCTTCACCGGGAGGAGAGGTTGCTTGAGGCTGTGGACGCTTGCATGCTCACCACAGAAGACGCAGAGGACGACCAGCTGCGGGATGGCGGCGTCCTTCTGGAGGCTAAGCGTCTCCTGCACCTTGGCTTGGCCTGCACCAACCCGAACCCGTACAATCGCCCAAGTATGGTGGAGGCAGTGCAAGTCATTACCAAGTTAGCGCCACCACCGGAGGTTCCTCTTGAGAGACCCACATTCATGTGGCCCCCTCAAGATTGGCGCGCACGTAACTCTGTGTACAGCACGGCGTTAAGTGATTGCGATGAGAGCTCGACGAGCACGGTCGAGACGGTGCATGTCAGCGACAGCCAGGAGTATGCTCCGTCTATCCCCACTGGAGGACATGGCTCCATCAGTAGCACAGTGGCGACTGGGAGCCAGTGCCACGGTTCGGCTAGGTCCAGGAGCTGAGTTATCATGGGATAAACAAGGGACAACCTATCCACATGTTTGGACAAATTAAAATTTGTTTCTGTGTGTGATCCTCATTTCCTCTGTTCTCTAAAGTTAATGTGTAACTAACTAACTATGCATGGCAGGGGCTAGATTAGTTTGTTTTTCCATCTCCGTGATCCCGAGACTGGACCTCTGTTTGTGTGTTATGTCATGTCCCTTTAGGATTTAGGAAGCACGGGTATCAGGTATGGTACAGTGTTTTTCTCTCACAACAAAACAGTATCAGTCGACTTATCAGCCATAAAAACCATCGGCCGAACAGCCCGCTGATGTTTGAAACATAGTTTTAATGTGTTATTGTACTTTAAATTATTATTGGAAGAATACCAAATTAGTGAATTACCGATACATAAAAGATAGGCATGCCCTACGCATCTGTGTCTGTAGCGAGCAGAGCTCGACTTCCTAGTTCCTAGGACCACGGCGGTACACGTACACTGGGTGAGTGCGGTGCTACTGTGGAGTTTGGCGGATTCGCCGCGGCGCACCGCAGCTCCATGGCCGTGCAGCGCCGTACTTGCCGCAAAGGCCAACATGCACTGCTATGGTTGTGGCACGCTGGCTTGCTCACGTCAAGATCGGGGATGCTCGGAGGAAGACGATAAACTGATACAGAAAAAAATTGTGACAGAATATTATGTAGCAGAACAAACAGTAAACAATGATCTTATTTTTTCTTCTGAAATACATTGTGCAACAGAGATCCTTCTGTGAACGTAAATTTCAAGATCTGCCGGCTCAGTCATTTGAAGGAGATCATAAGGATAGGCTTTACGTACGTATGATCATAGGAGTGGGTGTGCATACGTGCTGTGAACGTCTACGTTGTACTGTGTAAATTTTCAAAAAGAAAAAAAAAATACTCCACATGGCGATGAGCTTTGGTGCTCCTGGTCCTTGTCCTGGCGCTGCTGCAGCACAGGTCCCTGGCGGGAGACCACCCGCCACGCATTAGCTACCAGGCGGCGGCGTGCCGCGCCCGCTGCGTCTCCAGTACACCGCGGTGACACGAGGCACGAGCGGCGGCCGGTGCATGGCGCGCGTGCCGGTGGACCCGGAGCGTGGATCGTGCCGCATCATCGGGCCGTTCCTGGACCCGCACGCGGCGGCGCTGGCGCACGACCGCGTGGCGATCGCGTACCTGGGCGACAGGGGCGGCCCAACTTCCCGGCGGCGTTCCACCCCATCGAGCAGCGGTTCCTGCGGCTGTGCCGGGAGCGGGAGGGGCAGATCGACGTGTGCGTGCTGGTGGCGGACCCCGCCACGTACGAGGCCCGGTACGCGACATTCCTGGGGTCGGTGCTGCGGCTGAAGCAATGGGGAGAATTCAAAGGCCTCATCGTCGAGTTCTTCATCAGCCGCGCCTCCGAGATCGGGGATGACCTCCTCAAGGAGGGCGGGGAGAGGCTGGAGGCTAGGTTCGTGGAGATGCACCGGAACAAGACGGTGGACCCGCACTGGCGCCCCTTGTACATCCGCAGAGTCTTGCAGGAGCAAGAGAACCATAAGCGGCAGCGGCAGCTGCAGCTGCAGCAGCAAGTCGCCGTGCAACGCCAGCAGCAGCTGTTTGTGGTGTGAACAGAGAAAACAGAGCGTTCGAGAGTGTTTGCAGTTTACTTCGCGTGTTTGTACTTTGTATACTGATAAGCCCTTTTGGCAGCTTTGTAACTTTATTTACTGGTATTGAGCTTCCAAACGTACTCTCTTGTGCACTATTTTTTTCTCCATCATCCAAAAGATTTACGCGTTTTTATATTAAGTGAGGAGAATTTTGATTACAAAGGTTGGGTCTTATAGATTTTCAATAAGCATATGCCCACCCACACTCACACTTGACTGCTCTATTACTCGCTGAAGAAGACAACCTGGGTTCCTCGCGCGGGCTTGCACCCACGACTCAGCGTCGTGTTTGATGTGCTTGAGTAATTCGGGAATTTGAGTGCTCGCTCCGTGGATTCCTTTTTTTTCCATAGCTCCCAAGCAACTAATGCGAAGAGCTCTTGTGCACTATGATACAGCTGCAATTTCTTACCTCTGTAAATTACTCGTTCGATCAATTTTCTACCGAGCCACCTTGACGGCCGCGCCGCTCGCCGGATACTACGTGGCATCATGCATCGGTGCAGGCGATGCAGCCGACTCGACGACGTGGAGAGCCGATGTTGGAGTTGGATGCTGAGGTCCTGGGTCGATGGCGCAGTCGAGGGTGCAGGCGGTGGGGCTGACGACCATGATCTTGCGGCAGGAATGGATGCATGACGACGCTCGGAGTCCCGCTTCCTGGAGCTCCTAGGGCGCGGTGGAGGCGGCCATGGACGAGGGCACGAGACGTCGCTGCGTCGGAGGGTGCCGAGGACGGCTCCCGAAGACAGCGTTCACGACAAAATTTTGGCATATATGTTGTCCAAAATTTAGGACGATATATGTCGTCCAAATTTTGTAAAATTTGACTAGATTTATAGTACTAAACTTTGATCTTGAAATATGGGTAAAATAACAACATTCTCTAATAAAATAGGGGAACATGGACAATCTTGTCTGTTCGTTCAAAATTTAACACCCTTAACTAGATTTTATGGAATAGAAACATACTCTTCCTTTAGTTCAAAAACAATAAAAAAGTAAAGTCACAAAGTTTTAAAAAATAAGAGCAAAAAATCATCATTTGGCTTTAAAACAGAGCATATAAACGCTTAAGTCCGAGATTTTTTTTGGGGGGAATTATTTAGTACGTAGGAGAAATGGACTAGCACAGATAAAAAAAAGAAAGGCCAAAGCAGGACCGGTAGGTACCAGGGACGGGGCGGGCGGGTCCACCCAGGGCCCATGACAGTGAAGGCTTCCGTTCTGGCCCGTGTATACAACTGTACATATAGAATCCAGAACGAAAAAGTCCAAGTTATCTCCATCAACTTTCGCGAAAGTCCGCTTTTTCTCCATGAATTCCAAAACCGGGCAAAACACATCCCTCAATTTTTAAAACCGTTCATCTTACCACCCTGGCCATGTTATAAGCAGTTTTGGAGACGGTTTTGTCTTTTTCTTTTTTATTTATTTTGGCTAAATTTTTGAAAAATCATACAAAAATCATAAAATGGAAAATCCAATTTTGTTTGACTCCACATGAGTAGATCTACATAGTGAACATATAATATGGTATGCTTTAGTACAAAGTTTTTGCTTTGGCTTTAGACCTATGCTTTTATGTAATTAATTGAAATAATTCATAGCTGTAGTTTCTATGATTCAATTGTGATGAATTTTTATGATGGGCTAATTATTGTAATATTTAATTGTAGTAAAAATTTCATACTCATTCGATCATGTATAACTTAGTTATATATTTATTTATATTTAATAAGCATAAACCTAAATAAAATCTATAACTAAGTTATACATAATCCAACGAGTATGAAATTTTTACTGCAATTTAAACATACAATAATTAGCCCACCATAAAAATTTCACCATAATTAGACCATAGAAACTACAGCTATGAATTATTTAAATTAGTTACAGAAAAGTATAGATCTAAAGCTACAACAAAAACTCTGTACTAAAGCATATCATTTTATATGTTCACTGTGTAAATTTACTCATGTGGAGTCCAACAAAATTGAATTTTCTATTTTATGATTTTTCTATAATTTACTATGATTTTTTAAAGATTCAGTCGAAATAAATAAAAAAGATAAAGATAAAACCGCCTTCAAAACCGCTTATAACACGGCTAGAGAGGTAAGATGAACGGTTTTAAAAGTCGATGGAGGTGTTTTATCCAGTTTTAGAGTTTGAGGAGGAAAAACGGACTTTCGCGAAAGTTGAGGTAGCTAATTTGGACTTTTTTCAATCCAGAAGCATTGCGCATCAGCCCATGTATCGTCTCCCTGCGAAAGTGGAAGGAAGGCATAAGGAGTCTGGCTCTGGCCGTCTAGCGGCGGGGTGATGCCTGGGAGCTGGAGCACAGTGGCCAGTGGCCAGCGGCCAGCGGCAGCGCGCGGCGGGCGGCGGGCAAACGCTTGTTTGGTAGGGTCGCCCCCTGGGACCGCGCTCTCATCTTCTGTTGAAAAACTGTTGCGACCCAGAGTGCTTTGTGCGATGATGGAGAGATGAAGTGATGGTACCTTGGTACCTTGGGAAAGATCATGTGGTGAGAGTGAGATGGGACGTCCTTGTAAAGCTCGTCTGAACAGTTGAGATCCTCATAGCTCCCCTTCGGAATTGTATTGTCCATCCACTCGAGTTTTTCTCGAGTCAAAAGTTCAGCGGAAAAACTGGATCAAGGTATCAACTTTTCCTTGCACTATTTCCACTGTTCTTGTCAAGTCGCATTCTTTGATATTGTTTGACTAGTACATCCACCGTACCACATGCTATATGTTTAACTAGTACGATTTACTGTGCGTCAAATCATTATCACGATCTAACCGAGCTAGCTAGACACACATGGTTAGTCATAGTAAGAGCCGATCGAAATTCGTGAGTAAGAAAAGTGCAAGATCGGGATGTCGAACTTCTAAGGATCCGTTATACATGAATTTTACAGGAACCATACAGAAACAGAAATTTCACAAGAATATCTTCAATTTCACATAAAAACGTAAGGTTAAGAAAAAGCTCTAGCCTCCCAAATAGGGCCTAGCCTATCTAGGGAATTTATAAGGCATGAAAATGTAAAGATGTTAAGATTTGACACATGAAAAACACAAGAGTTTGTGATATAAAGAAGTAAGCAAGAGCTTAGGCATACAGCTTATAAAAAAAATTCATCAATAGCCTCGTATGTAGGTCATCTCATGCAATGTCATGTATAATTCTTTTACAATGTGGAAGAGAGAATGCAAAAGAAAGAAGAAGTTGTTTCTAAAACAACGGTTTTATGAGCCAAACTTTTTAGGATTACAATGCTACTCTGTTGTATCATTATACGAGTTGTCATTGTTATGCTACTCACAACATTTTTTTTTTCTATGCATTGTAGACTTATTACAAGATGACTTAAAAGACAATCCATTGTAGAAGCTTTTTTTAAGTCATTTATTTCAGGATTATAAATCAATGCATGAACCATTTATGAGACATCATCGATGTACTTGCTCTTGTTTTAATATCTCCAAAACTCCTATGCATTAACTAATTTGATATGAATTTCAAAGGGATCTTGATGTAATTGTCTCGAAAGCAGCAATTGTCATACTTTCTATAGGGATTTTCATTTTTCTTTTAAAAATTTCTTCAATTTCAAAGGGGCCTTATGATGGTCAAATCCAAAGCATTTTACAAGAGAGATGCATATCCTGTTGTTATCGTAAATTGTATATGCTTATGACCAAGCACGGAGGCCACCATAATATATGACCCTATACAAATGGCAGAATCTCGAAAAAGTGAGACACATCAAGCTGGGGTTCGGTTTGGTAATTATGCGATTACTAACCTGAACTTGTAATGTGAACTGGGCCGTTTCTGCCTCCTCTTAATGAAACATGTACTGAGGCACGGTCATAAAAAAAAGTGAGACACATCAAATCAAATTGCATTATGAGGATTGAATAATTAAGGCATGAACATGAACATATTAAATCCTCGCTCTTACTGCTCATCCATTCCAAAATATAGGTAGTTGTAGTTTTGTCCTAGATTAAACTTCTTTAAATTTGACCCAAGTTAGAAAAATGCATAAACATCTACTCCTATAACATTAAATTGGTTTTCACTAAATCCACCATGAAATATATTGCATAGTATATTCCAATATGTATATTTTCTATAAATTTGGTAGTAGAGAAATTTGACTGATGACAACTAAACAATAATCTACATTTGGCAAGGGAGGTAATAACGAGTTCTTAAATTTCAATCCGGTATCTAAGCTCGTTGAAGCCTTGAAAGGTAAAAATGGGAATATAGATGGAAGAGCTTTTGCACGAGTTGGTGCTTGGGTTCCACCGTACCTAACGGTGTCGGCAACACATGGCTTTGCACAGATAGATGCTTCAGCTAGTTACCGCACATGAAAATCTTGGAAGCGATATTTCCATGATCGGAAAGTTTCGTAACGAGGACGACACCAACCCAAGCTAAAGTTCGATCTGTGATCATTATTGCCCACGCCCACCTAGTAAAGTAAAGCTCTTTGCAACAAGAAATATACGCTACTGCATGTCTGCATGCTGTGTGTGTGTCTCTCTCTCTCTCTCTATATATATATATATATATATATATATATATATATAGCTGGCTACAAAATAACTTATTCTGTAGCCACTTTGAGTTACGACAATTACTATGTTAATTTACGAGATTATAGTAACTCCTTACTAAATGATTTACTATAACGTTATGGTAAATATTCCTATGTGTTATAGTAACCTAACTATCGTAAATATGTATTGATGTTATCGTAAATTAGTATATAAAATTATCGTAAATGGAGATGGCTACAGAATAACTTATTTTGTAGCTGGCCAATATATATATATATATATATATATATATATATATATATATATATATATATATATATATATATATATATATATATATATATATATATATTGAAGTACATCAGTCAGTGA